ATGCTTCGTGAAACTATCTTCATCTTCTTATTCTTGTTGTACTTCGAATATGCAGATCCTGCTCCGAAATGCACCCGGAGCAGTTCTTTCGTCGATTTTGAATCCGACTTCACTATGGTTCAGCATCAGCTCAGAGGCCATATCAAGATCATTGATTGTTCTTTTAGGGTTTCTCAATTTGATATGCTTTCTAGCGTCGATGTGCATTGGTGGGGCGCACTCGCTCCTGATTTCGATAACCTCACCACCGGATTCATCGTTTCAGATCACAAGCTTAATCATACATACGTAAATTCCACGTTCGTAGTACAATTGATGGCAAATATCACATGGGACATGATCCCTGTTCTTACTGTTTGGGATGTTCTGAGCGCCTCCGATTTCGGTCATATTCTGATTCAAAATCTCACCTCTACGGCGGAGTCTCCGCCCGAGAGCGACGGAGAGAAGAAAGTGAATGTAAGTGTTCATACAGAGCCAACTATGTTTGATAATTGTAAGGTTCTGTCGAAGGATTTTAGGGTTCGTTGGAGTTTGAAACCAAAAGAGGATATAGTTGAGATTGGGTTGGAGGGTGCCACTGGGGTTATGAATTACATGGCTTTTGGTTGGGCTAACCCTAACGCCACTGATGCAGAACTCATGGTTGGTGCTGATGTGGCAGTTACTGGATTTAAGGAAGATGGTTTGCCATTTGTGGATGACTTCTTCATCACCAAGTATAGTGAGTGTGTGAAAAACAGTGAAGATGGAACTGTTGAAGGGGTTTGTCCTGATTCAATCTATGAGGGGCCGAATAGAGTTGGCTTGGTGAATGATACAAGGTTGATTTATGGTCATAGGAGTGATGGGGTTTCATTGGTTAGATACAGGAGACCTTTGAGTCCGGTTGATGCCAAATATGATCACCGTGTTGATCGATTTGCTAACATGACTGTTATTTGGGCTTTGGGAAAGATTAGAGCTCCTGATACTGTTTTGCCGTATTATCTTGCTCAGAATCATGGGGGTCTTCCCTTTGAATCTTTTGGCCATTTGGTTCTCAATATTTCGCGGCATGTCAATGAGTGCAACGGTCCCTTGGATGCTGCTGATAAAGAGGATCAAGATATCATCATTGCTGATGCCAAAGTTCCTTTGGTTGTTACGACTGGCCCAACACTGCATTATCCTGACCCTCCAAATCCAGCCAAGGTTATTTACATCAACAAAAAGGAAGCTCCTGTGTTGAGAGTGGAAAGAGGGGTGCCGGTCACGTTTTCCATACAGTCAGGGCATGATGTTGCGCTTTATGTTACTTCCGACCCCATTGGCGGGAATGCCACTCTGAGGAATCTGACTGAGACTATTTATGTCGGAGGTCCTGAGGCTCATGGAGTTTAGGCCAGCCCCACAGAACTAATTTGGGCTCCTGACAGGAACACTCCTGATCAGGTTTACTATCATTCAGTGTATGAGAAGAAAATGGGTTGGAGAGTAGAGGTTGTGGATGGGGGTCTATCTGACATGTATAACAATATTGTTGTTCTTGATGATCAACAGGTTACCTTCTTTTGGACATTATCAAAGGATTCGATATCTATTGCTGCTCGTGGTGAGAAAAAGAGTGATTATCTTGCTATAGGATTTGGTAGTGGAATGGTGAACAGTTACACATATGTGGGATGGGTTGATGACAATGGTGTTGGTCGTGTTAACACTTATTGGATTGATGCGCAGGATGCCTCGGGTACACATCTTACAAACGAGAATTTGACACATGTGAGATGCAAAACAGAAAATGAAATTATTACTTTGAAATTTACTCGTCCCTTGGTTCCATCTTGTAGTAGGGGCAAAAGGCCAGAATGTAACGACATCATTGATCCCACAACTCCGCTAAAAGTCATATGGGCAATGGGTAGTACATGTAGTAATGGACATCTTAGTGAGAGGAATATGCATACGCTGACGAGTACCAGGCCTATATTAGTTCAGCTGATGCGTGGTTCTGCAGAAGCAGAGCAGGATTTACTTCCAGTTTTTGCTGTGCACGGTTTCATGATGTTTCTTGCATGGGGCATTTTGCTTCCTGGAGGTATATTGGCAGCCAGGTACTTGAAACATTTGAAGGGCGGTGGTTGGTACAAAATTCACGTTTACATGCAATACTCAGGGTTATCAATAGTTTTTCTTGCACTTCTTTTTGCGGTTGCTGAGCTTCGTGGTTTTCATGTTAGCTCAACACATGTTAAATTTGGAATTAGTGCAATATTTTTGGCTTGTATACAACCAGTTAATGCATTCCTTAGGCCCCAAGACCGACAAATGGGGAGCAGGCATCATATAAAAGGATTATCTGGGAATACTTGCATATAATTGTTGGCATATCTGCAATTGTTGTTGGCATTGCAGCACTTTTTACTGGCATGAAGCATTTGGGGGACAGATATGCCTTGGAAAATGTTCATGGACTCAGTTGGGCCATGATAATCTGGTTCTTAGTAGGTGCATTGAGTATTGCTTATTTCGAATACCGCGAGAAGCAAAGAGTCAGGGATCATATATTTGGAAGAGTCAATTGGGTGCTCGGTAATGAGGAAGATGATTCCATGGATCTCTTGAGTCCACCAAATACACATGCAACAAACAAAGAGTCACAAGCCTCCGCAAGATTGGAAATCCAGTTAGAACCTTTAAACAGGTAGATAGATGCATTTTTTTAACTTGCCATTGAAAGCCTCCATCTGCAGCAGTTGTTGGCAAATTCCTTATTTAATCTGAGCTTTTAGGATTATTCATCATTAGTTATGAGGGTTGAGTCATTTTTTAGGTGTAAAGGGAGCACTTGTTCATCAGTCTCTTTGTACTAATGTGGCAATTTTGTGAAGAGAGTAGCTTTCTCATAATTTATATACATGTTTACTAGATAGGTTATATCTTTTGTTCAATCTAGCTGCTATACTTTTTTCTTCCCCCTCCAAAACAAAATCAAGAAATCAAAGTTTACGAAGTGAAAGCTTTATTGTCTGTTAATGTAGGTTCTGTTTTCGTAGGTGTAATTCAGACATAGAAGGGATATCCTGCCAAAAACAATGTTGTAAATTATGCGATGCAGATAACTAATACAACATGACGCCATTAGTTTTTTATTTCAATGCAATTTTCTAAAGTTGGTCATGGTGAATTTAAACCATGTCAACCATTTTTTTTAAAAAAAAATTAGCATGTCTATTGTTGCACCTCAATGCGTTTTTTCTTTGTGGAAATACAGAAGCAAGAAATCATATTATCATATTATATCGACTATGGCGTCTCAATGTGTTTTTTCATTGTGGAAATACAGAAGCAAGAAATAATATGGAATACAATGCTATGGCGTCTCAATGAGTCCGGTTGATGCCAAATATGATCACCGTGTTGATCGATTTGCTAACTGTTATTTGGGCTTTGGGAAAGATTAGAGCTTCTGATACTGTTTTGTCGTATTATCTTCCTCAGAATCATGGGGGTCTTCCCTTTGAATCTTTTGGCCATTTGGTTCTCAATATTTCTCAGCATGTCAATGAGTGTAACGGTCCCTTGGATGCTGCTGATAAAGAGGATCAAGATATCATCATTGCTGATGCCAAAGTTCCTTTGGTTGTTATGACTGGCCCAGCACTGCATTATCCTGACCCTCCAAATCCAGCCAAGGTTATTTACATCAACAAAAAGGAACCTCCTGTGTTGAGAGTGGAAAGAGAGGTTCCGGTCACGTTTTCTATATAGTCAGGGCATGATATTGCGCTTTATGTTACTTCCGACCCCATTGGCGGGAATGCCACTCTGAGGAATCTGACTGAGACTATTTATGCTGGAGGTCCTGAGGCTCATGGAGTTCAGGCCAGCCCCACAGAACTAATTTGGGCTCCTGACAGGAACACTCCTGATCAGGTTTACTATCATTCAGTGTATGAGAAGAAAATGGGTTGGAGAGTAGAGGTTGTGGATGGGGGTCTATCTGACATGTATAACAACAGTGTTATTCTTGATGATCAACAAGTTACCTTCTTTTGGACATTATCAAAGGATTTGATATCTATTGTGGCTCGTGGTGAGAAAAAGAGTGGTTATCTTTCTATAGGATTTGGCAGTGGAATGGTGAATGGTTACAGATATGTGGGATGGGTTGATGACAATGGTGTTGGTCATGTTAACACTTATTGGATTGATGCACAGGATGCCTCGGGTATACATCTTACAAACGAGAATTTGACACATGTGAGATGCAAAACAGAAAACGAAATTATTACTTTGGAATTTACCCGTCCCTTGGTTCCATCTAGGACGATTTAAGCTGACATGTACAATAACTCTAACCTGAGTATAACCTTAAATCCAGGTCGACCATATTTATCTTCCGGAGGAAAATATGTTCCACCCATTAAAGGTTTCAAGTCACGAGAAAGAAACACAGTCAGGGGCCAACCTCCTCCCCCATACAAAGCCTGCACATATGTCATGTATACCTGAAGAGATAAAGAAAAATCTAAGTGCATCTTCCTTTGTTACCAATGGAACCCCACAATTATAGACCACAAATAGATAGACCGTGCTCTGACCTGGTAAAAAATTTATATAAAAGTTACCTTATCAACATCCGGTCGCTCCTCGCGATCCACCTATGGCATTGGTACAAGAAAAAGTTGAGCAACTAGTATAACTAAAGGTTATTGTTAATGTAAGAACTCAAAGCAACAGAAAACATAAAGTGACCAAATTACCTTAATGTTAACAAACCCATCATTCAACAATTTCACAATCCCCTCATTCTCAAAAGACTCAACCTCCATAACATGACACCTTATTCAAAATTCCCAAATTGTGATTGTCAAAATAATCTCATCAAAATATTGACATCCAAAGTATGAGTTCTAATAAGCCACACATACCAATGACAAGTGTTGTACCTAACTTCAAATCAAATAGCCATTAAACCCACATCACCACATGTAAACCAGAGGTTAATTAATTACACAATTAGGAAACTTTAATTTTCAAAAAACTAAATTAGGAAACTTTAATTTTCAAAAGGAAAAGGCAGAGAATTACTTGATAAAAAGATAGGTTCGTCTCGACGGCGTGCTTCGCCGAAAGCTTCTTCTCCCCATGGATACAATCAACCTGAAACAGAATGAACGAATCAATTATTAATCAGTGAGAACTAAGTGGAATTGAAAAAACTAAAAAATGGAACTTGCAGGGTTATGAGCGTGTTGAAGAAGGTTAGGGCTCTGTTCTAACGCAAGACGATTGGAGAACTTGTGTTGGTTGGAATGAGAAGTTGCCATGGAAAGAACCTTGGGGAGTGTGACGCGGGAGTATGGGAGAGGGAATCGAGAGATTGGTTTGGTGAAGGCGAAGCGGTGTTGGTGATAGAAAAAGCGGTTGAGAACAGCGACAGAGGTTTGATGAAGCATGGAATTGAAGTGTGTTGTGGAGAAATAAATGGAGAGTGTCAGTGTTATGACATAATTGATACTAGTAGTTTTGTTAGTCTTGGTTTCTCATTTTGGTGAGTTGAAGCATGTACACTAGTTCTCTTCTCAACACTTGGAATGGTTGGTTTCATGACAAGTGTCTCTTGTTTGGTTGGTTTCATGACAAGTGTCTCTTGTTTGTCTTTGTCTATGTAATCCATATAAATCGATATCCATTCTAAATGATGGGGAAAACTTCTTATGCTTAAATGAGATAATTACATTTTTTTTAATTTTTTTTTTGTTTGAATAGCATTAAATGATTTATTGTTATATTTTTTGGGATCATTTTCATAAATTTTAAAATTTTTGGGTTAAATTTAAAATATGAAAAATATAGATTAATTTGTAATTTTAAAAATTTTAAGGGATTAATTTGTAAAATTTAAAAAAATTTATTTGTAATTTTTTGAAAATTTTAGGGGTGAATTTGAAATTATAATAAAATATGAGGACCATCTTACAAAAAATTGAAAAATTAATAATAAAAAATTTAATATTTACATTATATAGCGTGAGAGAGCAATTTCAAATTCTTTACTTATTGGTGTCATTGAAAATTCCTTAAATTTAACTTGAATAAAATAATTCATAAATTTAAATTATTTTAACAATTCTCTATATTTTTTTATCTAAACAATGAGTTTTGGTCAAGTCATTTTAAATGCTCTCAAAAGATTATTTTTTCTCATTAAAATGTTTCATCCAAACACACTATAAAAAAAATACATAAATGCTTCGAGCTCACTATTTTACACCAAAGTACGTTCTAAGTGAGTTTTACCCCATATTTTTTGTTAAAATTTAATTTGAAAATGCATCTCCAAGTTCACCAAATACGCACCACATGCATTCCTTATTAAACACACTCATTTTGCCATA